CCATTATTATATTAATTATTTGTATTGTCTATGAGGCCTCATTAGAATAGAGGCCTCCGCAGGTTGTGACTGAGTTTGAGACTCATAGACCTGCTCTTGTTCTAGAAGAGAGAGGTCTTCAAGGATGAGTTTGTGCTCCTCCAAGGTCAAGGTGTCCATATCAGAGTCATGGCCCTTTCTTGTATCTATGCTAACAGGGCTGTGCCTTTTCTTTGATCTTGTTGGAGGAGATTTGTTAACATCAGCCTTAGATGGTAGCTTAGAAAGGAAGAAGGATTGTTTGGCTTTCCTCTCAGGTTTTGCATCATAAGCTATGAAGGTAGACCCATGAGAGGGCCATCCATAGGGTTTCTCCTTCTTTTTGGCTTTTTTGTACAAACCTTGGGAGCCTTATCCTTTGCCTTACCAAAAGTTTTGGCCTTGTTGGAAGGAGGCAATGGATAGGAGATGCTAGACGCAATAACCCTAATCTCTCCTGAAGCATCAACTGTAGAAAAACAAAGGTTGTCAATGACAAAAGAAAAAATATATATAAGAACAGTAGACAAGAGCAAAGAAGGAAAAGTGAGGAACTTATAGATCTGGCTCTGTCGATGAGAAGGGAAAAGAAAAGATAGGTATTCTTCCAATGATTTATGGAAGAAGATAGCACTAAGTACATTCTACCAAGCCCTGAACCTTTTGTTAATACTTGGCCCATACAAAAGTTGGGCCCATACAAGAGCTACAAAGGCAAAAAAGCGAGCCCATACAGGAGCTTTCGATTCTTAATCGGGATGGTATAGGCAGATGGCTGCTCAGTAAATTGGACTCTAGTGTTCACGTTCTCATGAATGGTAGGGTGAACATAGGGGAGAGGAATGTCTTGGATCAAGCCAAACTACTTGGCCCACTGACTAGGGTTGTAACTCTCAAAGCTGCAAGTAGAATGCCTGTTACTAAAGAGAGAGCATCCAACCAAAATGTATCTAGGGGCAAGACAGATGCCCTAGACTATTTTCGTACTTGCCTGGGGTCATTATCAAGAGTAAAGGGGCCATCATATATGTAGGATAAAAAGGTAGAACTAAAAAGAAAGGATTGGAAAGGAAGGGAAGGAATCCTATCAATGGTAAAACTCATAAATATGGGGAAGTATCGAGCAACGGTGACATTAGGAGAAAGCCAATGGGAAAGAAAGAACTCAGCATAGGTTTCACATTTGGAGGTATAATCTACCTTTCTATTGGACCTAACTTTTGGGAAATAAGCAAGAAGCCATGCTTGGAAGAACCAAAAATGGCTTACTATACTATTGCTAATTCTTTTGTCATGAAGTGAAAAAAGACCCTTACACATGGTAGCCAAAAGGAAAAGAACAAAGCCTACTCTTGGATTAGGAGGACAAGGGCAAGATACTACTTTGTGATCCTAAGGCCACCCACACAGAAAAGAAATTGGCATAACTAGCAGAGATAAAAGGCAGTCTTCTATGTGATTGAGGGAATGCCAGTCTTTTTCGAGTGGTCTGAGATGAACTTGCCATAATTACCTATCTTGACATCATGTTTGACTTCAAGAGTTTTAAGAAGGGCATGAATGTCTTGGCCATAAACATGGAGGCCAGTAAGATGCATCACATCAAGAATGACGGGGGAGGTCATACCAAACATGAGCATCATAGAGTTGCATGAGGTAAACCAGAAGCATGTAACAGCACCAATAAGCCAAGGATCCATCTCAAAGGATATAATGGACAGCTAAATGACGTAACAAATGCCTAGCTTGTGCCACATGTCTCCCTCAAATGTGGTCATCCTCTTTACCCAAGTTGTCCGTGCGTCATTTGGTTTGGGCCATGACCTAGGGCTCATCAACCAGTTTAGGCATAAGAGTAAAGATTGGTCCAAAAGAAGGGTTTCACCATCAATGATTGGGTAGTATGCAGACAAACCATCTGGAAAAGTGGTTTAGATACAAGGCCCAAGCTCCCCAACACCAGCAATGGGGCTAGTAGTGATCTGAGAATTGAATTGTTCTTTTCAATAAGCTGGACAACTTCATGAAGGAATTGACGAACCAAGTCAATGCATGAATAAGAAGACATGGTTTAAAAGCTTAGGGTTTTTGGTTTTCAAAAGTAGAAAGAAGTTTGTCGCATGGAAGTGGTGAAGAGGAAGAGTTTGAAATCCTTAAGTATCTTTGTGTGAGGCCCAAGCGAGGGAGAAGCATCTGGGTCTAGAGGTTGGCAAGTGGCCCAAACAATTTTTGGGTTTACAAAAGGCCTTTTATGATGTTGTTTCTGTCAATGGGTTGCAATTCAAATCATTGAAGGAAAATTCTTTACCTTGAATGAAAGGGGGCATTGTTGGTGCTAAATTGTGGAAACCTTTTGTCGACAAGTTACTAACCTAGCGTAAGTTGCTAACCTGACGTAATAGAGGGGACATGCTACGTGGTTCTTTTGTTAAAAAGATAATCCATAGGAAAGATGATTGAATAAAAGTGGTTGCAGAAAATCAATGAGGAAATTAGAATTAAAAAAATCAAGAAAGCTATCTCTAAAATGTGGGATAGAGATGCATAAGAGATAGAGGATCAAGGAAGATCAGAACTAAGGCTAGGCAGATCAAGTATTAAAAAAAAAAAAAAAAAAAAAAAAAAAAAAAAAAAAAAAAAAAAAAAAAAAAATCTGGATGAAAGGGAAGAGGGTACTTCAGACCACTCACAATTCAACATATTTATCTATGAGTAGTTTAATTTAGCAACTATTAGGAGTAGATTAAGTGATAGTTTTCCAACCCCCATTTCTTTCTTTCTATCGATTGATGTATTTGTTCTTTTATTTGTTCTTGTTTTGGTTCTTGTAACTGGTAGCAAGTAACAACATAATTGAATAAATACATATTATGTTAGGTTCTATCTCTTCTTTATTTATTTACCTCCAAGGAAGTCCCTAATTTGCTTAAGGCATAGAACTCAACCACAAAGTGTGATTTTTATTCATGTTTATTTAAAATTTATTTAAGCATGTCGATCTATCACTGTCGATTCGGCTTAAACCAAATTTTTACCAACACTAATCAATGTAAACCTAATTATAATTGGATTGATAATGAGTAACCCATTTATTAATTTGAACTGATTAATATGAATTTTAAATGAATTTGAATTAGATTTGCCACCTCTAAGTTAACCAACAAAATACTCTCATCTTAAATCCAAACCAAGTACAATAAAATATATTCGGTTCATTGCGATTTATTGATTTTTAACTCTTAATAAAGCTACAAAAAATAAAAAATCATTAAAAGACAACTTCAAAAACCCTTTTTTGATTAGACATCAAGATGTGACCCAATGGTTTAATAATTATACTCTAAGGAGTGGTTAGTAAGAAGTGAAGGATTTAAGTTGTTGGAATAATGACGAATCCTTCAATTATAATCTAACCATGGCTTTGTTTGGAAATGATTAACGTAGTTAAATTAGCACAAAAAGACAAAATAAATTAATTTAGTTAATAAGATAAAATACTACATTCAAACTATAATCATTTCACTTTTTCTCTCACAATCATCACATCTAAACCAAAAAAAGTCAAAAGTTATTTCCAAATGAAACTAATTTAACCATGCTAAATTATCCAAAAAGTCAAAACCAAACTAAATTAGCTCTTTCCAAACTAAGGATATGCTAACATACGTTATATTTATTAAAAAAAAAAAAAAAAAAAAAAAAAAAAGAAGAAGAAAAAAGAAAAGAAAACTTCTTATTTATAGTGGTATATATAGTAATAATGTACTTGTTTACCAAAAAAAAAGAGTAAGAATGTACTTACTACACTCGTAAATTTGAATCTGCACTTTTCTGAAAAATCACATTTACATGAAACACAAATTTCAAATTTAACCAATAAAACCAACAAGACTTTTGACAGTTAAAAATTATTTAGAAGGAAGCAGCTGAGACCAAGGATGGTTGTTAACCTGTGATAAATTGGCCAATGATGTTCGGGTCTGTCTGAACCAGATGCCTAAATTTAAAACTTACTGTTGCATGATACATCTTTACTCGATTCACCTCCTCTGCTAATAGTCAAGTGATTAAAATCGAGTATTCAATGATTTTTCACTTGTGTTTGGTGATAAATAATCACCTTTTACTTAGAATCTAAAAATTAACTAAAAATAAATCTAAATCTTAAATCAGATAGACCCGACTTATTGTTTAATATTCTTAACGAAATATTATTCTTTTATAATTGTTTAGTAAAGTATCAATTTTTAATCTGTAATTGAAAAAAATGCATACTTTTCTTCTTCTTTGTTTTTGTGTGTGTGTGTGTGTTTTTAATTTTCAATTTTATCAAACAACCTACACTAAACCGTCTCTAACAATCGTGCAACCTTCACTGGAGACATGGACTCTCACAATTGGGGTGAAAAAGATTTCTCGGTCCTATCTTCAACTGGTTGAGCTTGAGCTTGAGCTTGAGTTTGAGGCTTTTTTCACTTCAAAGTAAGCAAAATGTTTGATATGTAACCCGTTTTGTATAAAAACAACTCAACTCAACTCCACAAAACCACCTCATCCAAATCAGTTATATAAAGACTTCTATAAACCAGCCTTTGGAATGATAGACCCGACTTATTATTTAATATTCTTAACGAAATATTATTCTTTTATAATTGTTTAGTAAAGTATCAATTTTTAATCTGTAATTGAAAAAAATGCATACTTTTCTTCTTTGTTTTTGTGTGTGTGTGTGTGTGTTTTTAATTTTCAATTTTATCAAACAACCTACACTAAACCGTCTAACAATCGTGCAACCTTCACTGGAGACATGGACTCTCACAATTGGGGTGAAAAAGATTTCTCGGTCCTATCTTCAACTGGTTGAGCTTGAGCTTGAGTTTGAGGCTTTTTTCACTTCAAAGTAAGCAAAATGTTTGATATGTAACCCGTTTTGTATAAAAACAACTCAACTCAACTCCACAAAACCACCTCATCCAAAACAGTTTCATAAGACACTTCTATAAACCAGCATTTGGAATTTCAAAATTTGGATGGTAGTTCAAAAGCCAAACCAAGGATTTACCAGGTTGAACACTCTTACCCAAGTGTGATGTTGGATTCGAGTATCACTATTGCGTAATGCCTACTCCTATGTTTACAGTGATGAGGATAAGAGAAAAGATGAGAATGATTCGAAAAAACAAATCAAAAACAAAAACAACATTTCGAATTCTTAGCTCAAAACAAAAATATGTAAGTTCCAAAACTTCCATTCATGATCTAAAAAATTATACATTTTCAGCCAACCTTGCATGGCTGCACTACTCCTTTTGGAAGAACGAAAGTACAAGATCCGTATGTACAGAGAAGAGTTGTGTGTCAACAAAGAGCTGCATCACAAAACAAGAAGAGAAAACAACACATTAATATGCTCTCTACTTTTACTACCCATTTACAACAATGATAACTAAAGATGTACAGATCACAAAACAAATGTAAAAGAAAGCAAATCATGTCAAACAAGAACAATAATAGGTTGGTTATCTGCTGACAAACCATTGAACACATAAGAACAATATCTAAAAATTATAGAGATAGAGACATTCCAGGTCATCATGTTAGAATTATATCAATCTGTGGTTAGGCCAAAAAGAACTGGTGTCATTAAATTTCCTCAACTTTGATTAAACAGCATTAACTATATTAGCGAGGAACATACCTTCATAAAAGGTTGGTCACGACTAGGAAATGACTCAATAAAACTCTCCTTCAGAAGCAATGATACCTAAAGTCAAAGAGAAGATTATGATATGTCAATTGCAGAAAAAATTTCGGATGTCAGTACCGTAGCATGTTGTGCTCATCTACAAATTATTCGATGAATGAGGGTATGATTGATTACATCTCTAAACAAAAAACATAGTTTTTAGGCCTGTTTGGTAACCATTTCGTTTTCAATTTTCAGTTTATATTTACAAAAATTTTAAAAACTGTCATAAAATCTTGTTTGATAATTTTTTTAATTTATAAATGATTGTCTCAGTTTATAAATTTTAAAAAAAAAAAACGTTAAAAAAAATATTGAATTTACATTGTTTTTAAACAGAAATTTAAAAAATTTGACTAACAATTTTTTTTCAATTAATTTTTTTCCCCATTATTTATTTTTTTTCAATTAATTTTTTTAATTATATTTTTTTTCAATTATAATGTGTATGATCCCATAGTCATAAATAATAAAAAATAAATATAACTATTTTAGGCATGAACAAACGCTTTTTCAGTTTATGTTTTCAAAAAATTTCAAACACTTTGTTCAAACCAAGCGCGTTTACAATTTATGTTTTTTCTAAAAATAAAAACAAACCAATTTATAAAATTTTTGTAAACATAAATAAAAAACGTAAACGTTACCAAACACTACCTAAGTAATTCATATGACCTAGGACACCTAAAAAACCAATACATACTCAACATTGCTGAGGTTTTGCAACGTCAACAGGTACTAAATTAAATTTCATGCAAATCACGATTACCAACAGGGTCAAAATATACCTAGTAGCCCTTCTAGGTGTACTTTGATCCATTATGAATGTAAATCTGTGTCCGAACTGTTTTATGCGTGTATTATCAAGTTTACTTATCAACAAAAAAATAAAAAATAAAATAAAAATAGAGATCGTTGCTGACTAAGTAGTGAAATTTTCATTATTTTTCCTGCAAGTTTATTGAGTTGATTACTTCTTTCCCAAAACCCAGATACTAAAACATGAAAATAAATAAAAATAAATAATAAAAAAGAGGAAGAAGAGAGAATGATTCCTGTCAATATTCTACTTGAGTCAGAATACAAACCTTATCATCATTGGACTGAACATTAGTAATAGTGTGAGAACGAAGATTAGAGCAAATTGAATCCAAGTAAGATCTCAACACTGATAGGAATCCCTTGGCAGCTTCAACCTAAAGCAATAAGAGTACAACAGATAAAACAGTATTTCGGAAGGCAAGAAAATTAAAAGGCTATTACCACATACATACTTCAATTATGTTGCAATAACTAAACATATGAAAACATGGAGAAAATGAAACAACAAACAGTTATATTGAGGCAATAACTAGTCCAAGTTTTAAATATGTACCAATGGTCATAGACAATGAAGTCATAACAAGAAGAGAAGGCAATGGCCGCAGAACACCAAGCAGCAAACAATCTTTTCAAAATTTGGTGAGTTACGGCGGTGGGGAACAAAGGCTAAACAATGTCAAAGTTATATATCATTCTGTTATCCCGTAGATCACCAGTTTGCAAGTTTGTGAGCCTTGAAACTTATCAGATGTATCTTTGGCAAAGCAATTGTCAAATCTTAAAAGGATGTATGCCCTGTAGAGCGTGTATGTTTGGAGAAGACAAAAAGTAAGGGAATGAGTTAGACTTCATTCCCTTTTATATTGATAATACTGAGAAATTACAGGAGTGCCATAAGGCATAATATAAGGAAACACAGTCACACAATCACGCATTTCCTATTCTAGCTTAATTCATATTCTAACACTCCCACTCAAGCTGGTGCAAAGATATCTCTCATGTCCAGCTTGTTGAGAATGCCATAAAATGGTTTGCTCCCTAGCCCCTTGGTGAGAACATCGGCTAGTTGGTCTCCAGTCTTCACAAATGAAATACATATGATGCCACTAGTGAGTTTTTTCTTGATAAAGTGACTATCTATCTCCACATGCTTAGTTCTATCATATTGAACTGGATTATGAGTTATGTTGATTGCAACCTTATTGTCACAGTATAGTCGCATGGAGTCATTCTGATGGATTCTCAAGTCTCCCAACAATAGTTTAATCCTTAGTAACTCACATAAATCCTGAGTCATAGCCCTGAATTCTGCCTCAGCACTAGATCTAGTAACCACATTCTGTTTTTTACTTCGCCACGTGATTGGTTGCCACCAACAAATGTGCACTATCCGGAAGTTGATCATCTGTCAGTGATGGATCCAGCCCAATTTGTATCAGTAAATGCCTCCATACTGAAATGGTCATGTTTTGAGAAATAGAGACCATTTCCAGGAGAAGATTTCAGGTATCTCAAGATTCTCATAATTGCCTCTAAGTGGGAAGTTCTCGGAGCATACATAAACTAACTCACCACACTCACGGCAATGGCAATGTCTGGACGTGAGCGGGAAAAGTATATGAGCTTTCCCACTAGTCTTTGGTATCTCCCACTATCCACTAGATCTCCTTCTTGATCCTCACTCAGTTTCTGGCCGGGTTCTAGAGGTGTGTCACATGATTTACCTCCAAACATTCCAATTTCGTTTAGCAAGTCAACTACATACTTCCTCTAGCATATGAAGATGCCATCCTTGGACCGAGCTACTTCAATGCCCAAAAAATACTTCAAATAGCCTAAGTCTTTGATTTCAAACTCCTTGGCTAAGTATTCTTTTAAACGAGAAATCTCCTCAACATCATCTCCTGTCAGAACAATTATCATCAACATAGACAATAAGAGTTGTGGTCTTACCATGTGAGGAGTGTTTCACAAATAAGGTGTGATCAGCTTGACTTTGCTTGAATCTATATTTCAGCATAGCTTGAGCAAACCTTTCAAACCAAGCCCTAAGAGACTGCTTTAGCCCATAAAATGACTTTCGGATCTTGCATACTTTACCGTTGGACTTAGCATCCGCAAAACCAGGAGGAATATCCATATAGACCTCTTCTGCTAGATCCCAATGAAGGCATTCTTCACATCAAACTGGTGAAGTGGCCAATCCAAATTTGCAGCAGGAGAGAGTAAGATTCTCACAGAATTTATCTTAGCAACCGGTGAGAATGTCTCCTGATAATACACCCCATAAGTCTAAGTGAAGCCCTTAGCAACCAGTCTTGCTTTGTAAAGTTCTATGGAATCATCTGCTTTGTGTTTTACCATGTACACCCACTTACACCCAACCCAACTGAATTTTTGCCTCTAGGTAACTCCACTAACTCCCAAGTGCCACTCTTGCTGAGAGCTTTCATCTCTTCCATCATGGCATGTTTCCATTCAGGAATAGAGAGAACACCCTGAAAATTGATAAGTAAACTCACAGAAGACACTTTAGACAGAAAAACTTTATATGGCGAAGACAGATTAGAATAAGAGACATGATTCGTAATAGGATGTTGGGTACATGACCTAACCCCCTTCCTATTAGCAATGGGAACATCAAGATCTGAAAAATCAGGAATAGGAGCACTACAATCAGAATCAGAATTATCTGGACTCTCAGGAGAGGGGGTTGACTCTGGACACTCATTCAGAGAAGAAGTTGGCTGTAGAGGAAGGAAAGTAGTCTCTTGCATCCAGGTGACTTGCTGTCTGTCCTTGTCCCTGATATAAACTTTGTCTGCTTTCTTTTCCTCAACAACTGCTGGCTCATCAACCTCTATCTGTTCAACCACGGGCGGGAGTGGAATAAGAATCTCTTCACACCAAGGCTCCCCCTGAAAGGATGACTGTGATACCGGGGAGGTTGGAAAGTAAGGCTGAGACTCAAAGAAAGTGACATCCATAGAGACAAACCTTTTGCGAATGGGAGGATGATAACACTTATAACCCTTTTTGGTGGCAGAATAATCCAGAAAAACACACTTAAGGGACCTAGGATCTAATTTACCACGTGTGGGTGAATGATTATGGACAAAGCAAACATAGCCAAAAGTCTTAGGAGAAATGGAAAACCCGGAAAATGTAGACCCGAACAAAACTTGAAGAGGTGTTTGTTTTTGAAGGACTTGGGTAGGAAGACGATTAATCAAATAAGCGGCAGTGAGAACCGCTTCCCCTCAAATAGGATCAAGGAACCCACATCTCAAAGGATAGACGACAGGCGACATCAAAGAGATGGCGATTTTTGCGTTCTACAAACACTATTTTGTTGAGAAGTATTAATGCATGAAGTCTAGTGAATAATGCCATGAGTGGCGAAGTAAGTGGCAAGACCAGAGTCAATATATTTCCCCCCGTTTATCAAAACGTAGAATTTTGACAACCGCCCCAATTGAGTACAAACCATTTTATGGAAGTTTTGAAACACAGAAAATACCTCACTTTTATCTTTCATCAAATAGATCCAATTGGCCCAGGAACAATCATCTATGAAGGTAACAAAGTATTTTTAACAGGTTAAAGACACAAAACAGGATTGACCCCATACATTAGAATGAATCAAAGAAAATGAAACGAAACTTTCATTAATAGGAGCAAAAGAGGTTCTGTGTTGTTTTCCAAGTTGACAAGACTCACATTGAAAATTTGACACATTATTTTTCTCAAAAACAGAAGGAAATAAATGCTTAAGTAATAAAAATGAGAGATGTCCAAAGTGACGGTGACATAACCAAATGTCTTCCTTGGTGGATTGTAACTGAATAAATGAATGAGCCAGCTTGTCTGTTTGATTCGGAATGTAGAGCTCATGTTCCTCTCTACCACTGCCAATCCTCTTCCCCATGATAAGGTTCTGAAAACGACAGTGATCAAGAAAAAACGTCACGCTACAATTTAAGTCATGGGTAATACGATTCAAAGATAAAAGATTTACACTGAAATTGGGAACATGAAGGACAAAAGACAAAGGAAGAGAAGATGTGGCATGAATTAAACCTTTCCCTGACACAGACGAAATGGTACCATCAGCAATACGCACTTTTTCCTGACCTGAGGAGGGGTTATACTCTGAAAATAAATTAGAAGAGCCAGACATATAGTTGAAAGAACCAGAATCAATAATACATGGTACAGATGTATGAGATAGCAATGCATATGGGGATGAAACCAAGTTACCTGAATTGGCAAAGGAAGAAAAGAGTGCACCTATAGTAGAATGGGAGGCTCTACGATCTAGCAAGTGACGAAAAGCAATCTCAAAATCTGAGGCAGATAACCCCGAAACATCAACAGCCGGTGAAATAACAGGAGATGAAGGTGGTGGCTCAACCGTGTCAGAAAGATGCATCCGTGCATTGACCCCTCGGCCTCTTGACAAACCAGACCGACCCCCTCGAGTACCAGGGCGGTCTCCTCGGCCACCAGAAGGGGTTCCATGCAGCTTCCAACAAGTGTCTAGTGTGGCGAGGTCTACGGCAGTAGTAACAATAAAGCTAATCCTTCTCAAAGGAGGGACGAGAACCACAAGGCACACCATTTCGAGAAGAGGCAGAAACCAAGGCAAAGCAATCACTAGTGACAGGAGCAAGCATAGCAGAGCGGTGACTTTTCTCATTTTGCACAAAAGCAAAGGCTTCCTAGAGAGAGGGAAAGAACATCAATGCCAAGTACTCAGCTCCAAACAGGATCATACTCTACATTCAGGCCTTCCAAGAACTTGAAAACCCGCTCTTGCACCACAAATTTTCAGTAACCAGCAGAATCGGTGGGATATACAGGCTTGTTGTCACGACCCCAAACCGCCCCTAGTAGTTTGGTGCCGTGATGGCCAGCAATCCGAGATTACCGAAGGCTAACTTTCAAAAGTTTAACACAATCAGAGTATAGTATAGGGGGCTCACAGATGTGGAGGCGATAAATCAAAATACAAGTGGTCCATAAGAGTTGTGCATAGATCAAATGTAATGACATACATGACATAGTTTCTCATTCGGTTGATAATAAACGAAATACATATCAGAATCTTGATCAAAAGGCTTCTAGAGCCGACATGTGCAAATACAATGATTACAAGCCAAAGAAGCATAATCTTCAAGATTTGCCGACGTAAATACAAATTTCCCGACATAGAACAAGTCAAGCCGACATGACAAGAATCCAAAACAAGCTGTGCAAAACACTTCTAGGCGTCGCCGCCGTCCTGCTCATCACCTACATATATATAGAGAGGGTGAGCTTGGATACTCAGTGAATGGTACTAGTAATAAAGGTTTTGCATGAATATAGCCGAAGTCTTTTCCAAACCAAACATGCCAAGACCATACGAATATTAGCCGAGATCCTTCCAGAGCAAAACACATCAAAACTTTATCAAAACAAGGGATGAACCGTATTCATATATCAAGTCTTACAAGTATCAAGGGATGCTCACTGGCATCGGCAAAACACAAATCAAGCTTTCCGAACACACAAGTCCACGCGGTAAACCGTCAGTGGCAAAACAAGGACTGCACGATCCGTAATCGATTAGTCAAAGGTACTGCGAAAGTTTATAGTCCTCCAGCACAAGGGACTTGTGTTACTTAAGCCCGTAGCTCCTTTTAACATGATGGTCTTGTGTTACTTAGGCCCGTAACCCGCTTTAACACGATGGTCTTGTGTTACTTAGGCCCGTAACCCGCTTTAACACGATAGTCTTGTGTTATTTAGGCCCGTAGCCCGCTTTAACACGATAGTCTTTCCAAGAAAGGACCGTATCCTTTTATACTTAGTGCTGCGAAAGTTTAGAGTCCTCCAGCACAAGGGACTTGTGTTACTTAAGCCCGTAGCATTGAAACCCCCTATAATTGTTGAACATGAAAAATTGACATCCTTTTAAATTTATGCATATCAACTATTATAGTGACCACTATTGATCAAAACACAAGATGCATAGAAAGAGAATACAAATTTTATTACTATTATTTGACATATGTACAAGTAAAGAATAATTATATAGCGATCCCGGTTGTCCCTTTACTGTTCTGTTGTGTTCCGGACTCGGTTCTGTGAAGTTGGTAGTGGTATCTATCTTGTTGTCGTCCTTTAATTCCACTTGATTGAGTTCT